GTTTATTGTCAGTTTCAAAATTCATCGTTTTCATATTTAATCTATGCGGGTATTGCAATTTTTTTGGCCACCACTGTAGATAAAAAGAATATAGAATGTAAAATATGTGAATACAGTGTTAATTATCTTAGAAAAAGTTGACAAAAATTTTAAATATTTAAAATATGATGGATATACAAAAATAGTTGAGGAAACTGTTAATAAATTAAAAAATTGTTTTAAATACTGAAATGGACCGTTTAAACAAAAATTTGTTTAAATTAATTACTAATCCTCTAACAGATAATTCTAAACATGAAGTCGAGTTATTAATTTATGAATATTTTAATTTCCAAATATAATAATTTTAATTAAACGCTTGTCATTTTTAATATTTGTGATTATTTAAATAAAATAAAGAACAAAAGATATATTTTTTAAACTATAAATTTATAAGATTTAAGAATATCGTTTAAAATTATCAATAAAATATTTATAAAGAAAATGATATATAAAACTGGCTTAAAAATTTTAATAAAAAAATTCAATTATTAATTTATATAATTTACTTATTTAATTGTGAGATTTATAATAACTTACTAGATGATCTAAGTGTTGATTAAAAAAAATTAGTTATTAATTAAATAGTTTATTAGAATCTTAATAAAAAATAATCACAGTTATATTTAATAAAAACATTTCAATTTTATTTTAATTAAAAATTTTTATAAAAAATTTGTTAAAATGATTAAAGAACCACTTTACAGCAACAAATCAATAAAACACCAAAAAATAGATGAAATTAAAATAAACAATAGTAATACTAAAGTAATAAGTTATTATAAACAATACAACAGTGGTCAAGTTAAAAACATTCCTATAGAAATATACAAAAGTGACAATTTATTCAAGCCTGATACAATTTATCATCTTATAACTTACGAAATGCTTAAGTCATTCCCATCTCTTATTCTAATAGAATTTATAAATCCTCTAATAATATTTTATGATAAAATAACTTTACCAAGATCAATTCAATATTTTTTTAATGAATTCAGAAATAAATATTCTGTCTATAACACTACAGATTTTATTAATAAGGAAGATTTTACAGAGATAACTAGAACATTTGATTATTTGAGTATAATAAAAGAATTAAATGAAAAGTATAAAGAAAGTGAATTCAAATTATTAGATAAAAATTATAGTCAACTGGTAAAAGATTTATTTAATAATCCAATTTTACCTGTAAATTTTTTATCAAAAGATACAATAGATGATGTTGAAGTAAAAGTAGGTACACTTTTACTTAACATGTATGACTTAACTAAAGGTATAATTAGAATTGATGAAAAAAGAATTAGAATATTCAATAACACTAAATATTTCCATTTAGATAAACTTAATGTTTTTGATATTGAGACAGACGATGAAGTTGATATTAACACAATTGTACATGGATTAACAAAACCTAAAACAAGAGTATTTGTAGGTACTGTTTTAGTTTGTAATGATACATTAAGAATCATTCCACTAGATCAAAGATATGTTTATGATTTTCATTATTATTCTGAGAATATTAATTATTACCATAATAAGAAAGTTCATTGTTGTCTTTTTGGTGAAAGAATTCAAATATTTGATATTTTAGGAGAAAGTTCTAATTTTGATGTTGAAATTAACAGTGTGATGAAAAATTTATTTATTGATTATGTGCAGATTGAAAATAACAATGTTAAAGATACAGAAATAGATAAATTGCCTGTTAAGGAACATAAAGTAGATTCAGATAGAATTGATTTTAGAGAAAAGTATATTTTTTCTATTGATCCACCAGGATGTACAGATATTGATGATGCTTTACACATTGATGAGTATAAAGAGTATATTGAAGTGGGTGTACACATTGCTGATGTTAGTGAGTATGTATTACCAAATACGGAAATTGATGATATTGCTAGATATGGAGCAACCACAGTGTATTTTAATGAATATAGAATTGACATGTTACCTCCTTATTTATCATCAGGAGAATGTTCATTAATAGAAAATAAAGAAAGATGTGCACTTTCATGTATTTTTAAATTTACAAAAGAATTTGATTTAATTAGTTATGAATTTTTTAACACTTTAATCATTAATAAGAGAAATTTTAGTTATGAAGAGGCTGAAAATATTTATAAAAGTGGGGAGGGTGAAATTTCATACAAAGTAGGTTTGTTAATGAAAATATCTGAGAGATTAAAATTAAATAGAACACTTAATGGTGCTTTAGAATTAAATGCTAATAATAGCACAAGTAGTTTAATAGAAGAGTTTATGTTATTAACTAATATGAAATCTGCTGAGTTTATGTTAACACATTATCCTGAATATTCCTTATTAAGAAAACATCCTAAAGTTGATGAGGTAAACATAATTAATATTATAAATGGAAATAATGACATATTGATAGATAAATCAAAAGAAGATAAAAGAAACATTTTAAATGATTTTATTAAAAATTCAAACATTCCGGTAGTAAAAGATTTAGTAATTAAAAGTATGAATCAAGCTTATTATTTCTGTAGTAGTACAGAAGTTGACTATCGTCATTATGGTATAGCAGCTGATATTTTTACTCATTTTACATCACCAATTAGAAGGTACGTTGATTTACTAGTTCATAGAATTATTAAATCAATATTGAGAGGAATGAGATTTACTGATATTAAATATTTAGACAAAGAAAATATCAATTGGATGAATTGGAGAAATAGAAATGCTAAGAATGCTTCAAGAATCATTAATGAGTTATATTTACTTAAAGATGGAAGTGTTAATAAGAATATTTATAAGGGAATAGTTTGTACAATTGAAGATTCTTTTTGTATTGTTCATATTAAAGAATTATCACTAAGTGGTATTTTATTAGATAAAAACAATGTGAAATTATATGATGAAGTTAATGTAGTTGTTACAAGTAATTTTGAATATTACAGTGTTCATAGAAAAATTTTATTAAAAGTTGTTTTATAGAAATTTTATTCAATAAAATCATTTATATTAACATTTTCTAACTCACTGTGACCACCAATAAATGTTTTTTTTAAGAAAATTTTAGGAAAAGTTTTATGAGCTGTTACATTTTTAACATAATCACTGAATTCTTTGTCTTTTACTGAGTCATAAATTTTATATTCAATACCATTAGAATTTAATATATCAAATGCTTTAGTACAGTAAATACATCCTTTTTTAGATACTACAAAAGTAATAGGAATGTCTTTATATTTCATCTTAATCATCTCATAATCATCTGCTTTTTTAAAATTAAAATCTAAAAGGCTTTTTGTCATAATTAAAGGGATAAAAATTTTAAAAATCATTTTTTTAATAAAATTTTTTATTGATTTTTTATTGTTTTTTTAATACCCATTCTAATGACAGATAAAAATCAAATAAATAAATCAGAAAACAATAATGTATTTTGTAATGAAGATGAATTTGAACAATATAAGAGTGAATTACTAAATAAACCAAATAAGAGATGTACTAATTGTACATGTGGTAAGTATAAGAGTGAACCAGTAAAAGAAGAAAAGTTTGAAAGTAAGTGTGGTAATTGTAATTTAGGAGATGCTTATAGATGTTCATCATGTCCATATCTTGGATTACCATCGTTTAAAGAAGGTGATAACATAGAATTTGATTTAGATAAATTTAATGATTTATAAATTAATTTGATTTTACTTTATAAAGATTTTATACAATTTATAATAAATTATACTTTTTTTAAATCATTTATAAAAACTTTAAATTAATTTTTTAATATGAACTTGTTTATTAATTTTATAAAAACAAAAAGTACTTTATAATAATTTCTTTAATTTTTAATGAATTTATTCAATAAAGTCATTTATATTAATATTTGTTAATTCACTATGACCGCCAATAAATGTTTTATTTAAGAAAATTTTAGGAAAAGTATGATGAGAAGTTACATTTTTAACATAATCACTGAACTCTTTGTCTTTTATCTTATCATAAATTTTATATTTAATACCATTAGAGTTCATTATTACAAATGTTTTAGTACAGTAAGGACATCCTTCTTTTGATACTACAAAAGTAGTAGGAATGTCATTATATTTCAACTTAATCATCTCATAATATTCAGTATTGCGTTTATTTGACTTAATAAATAACTTTTCTTTATAATACACTAATGTATCTTTTATAGATTCATTGTCAATTTCTAATTTCTCTTTGTTATCAGTCATTTATAAAAAAAATAATTTAAACTTTTGTTATTAAAAAATTAAATAACTAATTTAATTATTTTATAAATTAATAAAATAGTAATCAATAAAACAATTAAAATAATAAACCAATATTTTCTTATTAAATTCCAATAACTAATATTATCTAATTCATTATGATGTTCTCTATTAAATTCAATAGACCTGTTTATAAAAGAATTTATATTTAATAAATCTTTAGTATCTTTTCTTTTCTTAATTTTAATATCTTCTTTATCTTTTTTCATTTATTTGTTTAGTTTTTATTTTTATTTTTAATTAGAAATTTAAATGATTGACTTAACTCAGTTTGAATCTGAATGTAACTACTGTTATAATAATATTAATGATGAAACTTTATTTTACTGTGAGTGTACTTTAACAACATGTAAGTATCATTATGAATTACACTTTAAGTTAAAAGGATGTTTGTGTCTGTTTAATGTAACTAATGAGAATAATAATTTGATGGTTAACAACCTTGTTTCTGAAGATGATCTTACCAATCAAGTTTTAGTTCATCTTAATAAGAATGATGATACTATTGTATGTCCTCATTTTAGTGGTGATGTTGATAAGAATGTAATTGATATCTTAGATAAGCAATGTAACGAATGTGATATTAATGATAACGTATGGAAGTGTCTAGAGTGTGGTTATGTGGGTTGTGGTAGAAATCAGTATGGAATTGAAGGTAACAATCACATGTTTAATCATTATAAATCAACTGATCATTTTAGAACATTAAGTTTAAATTCCAAATCTGATTATTATTTAAAAGTTTATTGTTATAAATGTGATTATTATATTAAGTGTGATTTAAGCAACATTAACTTTAATACTACAGAAAATAGAAATTTTAACTTAATTAATATTAATTTAAATAATTCCAACAATAATTTTGATAAAAAAAGTATAAAAGGTATTACAAATAATTTTAATAATTGTTACATATCAACAGTCCTTCATTTATTATCAAATATTTATGATGAAAATTTAGATAATCATTTTAATGTATGTGATTATCATCCAATTGATTGTTTTATGTGTCAGTTTATTAAAGTTATAAACGGTCTTAATAAAGGTGATAAAAATATTCTTAATATTGATCCTTTTATCAATATTATAAGTAAGAGTGATATTTTTATTAAATATCAACAATATGATGCTAGTGAGTTTTTATATTACGTATTTGATAAGTTTGAATTTTATTATCAAAAGGGGACCATTCCTAACCTATTAGAAAGATTATACTTTAATACTAAAAAAATTAGTGGGACGATTTTTTTTAATGAATTTGTTAATAATTTAAATGAAATTCAATTAGATGGAACTTTCAATGATTTTTTAATAATTTGTATAAAAAGATACAACTATGAAAATCATGAGACTGTAAAAATTAATGATCCTATTGAATGTGATGATTTAGTTATAAATGATGAAAAATACTCATTTATTTGTAGTATTTTACATGAAGGTACTGTTATTGAATCAGGTCATTATTTATATTATGATAATGTTAATTATTTAATAGTTAATGATGAATTAGTTAACGAAGTGATTGATTTAACGAGTGTTAAAGCATTTAGTTATATTTACCTATTTAGGAAATAAAAATATTAAAAATTTTATTAAACTCTTCTACCTCTATTACCTCCTTTACGACGAGTTGAATCTGTTGGAATTGGAGTTACATTAACTATTCTACCAACTCTCATGCCATCTGTAGTTGCAAAACTTCTAACTGCTGCTACTAATCCTGTTCCTGGATTCTTTTTAGAAACACCTCCTCTACCTCTGATGTAAAAGTGACAACAGTTTATTCCTTTACGTAAAGCTAATTCTGCTGCTTCTCTAGCTGCCAAGAATGCAGCATATGCAGATCCTTCATCCTTCTTTGCCTTAACTTTAGAACCTCCAGATATTTTAGCGTAAGTTACACTACCAGTCATATCAGTTACATGAATAATAGTGTTATTCTTAGTTGATAGTATTCTACATACACCAATCTTTAAATTACTAACTTCTTCTTTTATTGGATTTGTTACTATTTCTGCACCTACTTCTTGTTGTTTTACAACGTCTTCCATTTTTTGGGGTTAAAAAATTTTTATAAAAAATTTTAATTTTTTTATTTAATCAAAGACAAATAATCATCACTTTCATCTTCTTCTAATATAATCCGTTCATTTAAAATAAAAGGATGTTCAAGTAATTCATTTACTGATGGTCTATTTTCATAGTCTAATTTCATACAGCTGATTATAAAATCTCTTAGTTCTGGTGAAGTTTGTCTCTTAAATTTAAATCTTTTATGATCTTCAAGACTCTTCTTCATTAATCCTGCAAACATCCTATAACTTTCCATATCTTTCTGTCCTTTTGACTTATAAAATGGAATCTTACCTATTGATAGATACCAAGCAGTTGCTCCCAGTGACCACACATCACTTTTAAATCCATGTAAACTACTTCTCATTACTTCCGGTGCCTTAAATGGAAATGTTCCATAATTCTTACCACGTATTTCTTTCATTGCATTCTCATCATATTTATCATTATCTTCAAGAATTGGTTGTGTAAATCCAAAGTCTATTAATTTATAAACAATACTTCCGTCTCTTCTAGTTTTTCCCATTATATTCATTATTTTAAAATCTAAATGTGCTAATCGATTATCATGTAAATACTTTAGTCCTTTTAGAGCATCAATTAAGATTGCCCTTATGGTGTCCTCATCCCTAAATACATTCTTTTCAGTTATTTTAACATCCATGTATTCAAAAAATATCCAAATTAATGTCTGTTTCTCTCCATTAACAACCCTATTCATTCTGGTTGACATGTAACAATCAATTATATTTTCATGTTTGTTTTTTAATGATTCACAAACAACATCTTCATTAACTTTTGACTTTGGATCCCAAATAATTCTCTTTAGAACAGTGTTTTTTCCGTTCTGTGTTGAATACTTAAATACAGCCGTGTTTAATGTCATACGAATTGGCACAATTGGCAATGGATAGGGATCTAGTTTTCTAAAAGAGTTGTTCTGTGTATGTCTATCTTCAAGCTCTAAAATTACATCCATTTCTTTATTTATATATTCCATACTTTCTTTCAACATTTTATCAAAATTTAGGGCTGAATTTTTATTAACAGATATCACTTTTGAACCAGTAGATGATTTATATGAATAAGTGAATGATACAAGTGCATAAATATAGATAAACATCAAAGAAAACAATGTTATTGTTGAAATCACTGCAAAAAATATGAGTTTTGGATATCTTCTACAAGTGTTCTTAAACAACTTTAAAGAAGAAGTTGTTATTTTCATAAATTTAATTAATAATCAAAAATATTTTATGTTTTATAAATTTTGTTTGTTAAAAGAAACAAACATTTTGTTCGTTATTGTAATTAAATTTTTATCCTTTAAAATTTATAAATGACAGAGAATCCAAATTATAGAAAAATATTTAACGATCATTTTAATGCATCTGAAAGTAAATTAAAGCAACTGAAATTAAATATAAAAACTAAAGAATTAAATAATAAAGAAGATTTAAATAATAAAGAAGATTTAAACAGTAATGAAAGGAATTTTAATAATAATGAAAGGAATTTTAATAGTGAAGAGAATAAATTAATAGAAAATAAGAATTCTAATAATGAAAGGAGTTTTATAAAAGAAAAGAGTAGAAAAGTTCAATTTATACTAAATAAAGATGAAACTATTAAAGTAACTCCATCAAACAATATAATTTCTAAATACTTAGCTAGAAAATTTGAAGCTAAATATTTTTTAAAGGAAAATTGTTGGGTTATTAATGAATCATTATATTCTGGTTTAGTTAAAGAATTAACTAAGAATAACGTAATACATGAGAAGTTAAATAATGCTGTTTTAAAAACTATTAGAAAAACAATTCCTGATAATAAGTATGATTTAAGTGATGAGATTTTTAATAAATTAATGTCTTTTCAGAAAGAGGCTGTTATATACGCCTTAAATAGAGATGGTAGGGTATTATTAGCGGATGATATGGGATTAGGTAAAACAATACAGGCAATAGCTATTGCGCAATACTATTCTTTTGAGTTTCCATTGTTAGTTATATGCCCAGCTTCACTTTGTGATAATTGGAAAGATTCTTTTTTTACATTTCTAAATATGGAATCTAAAGTTGTTAAGACAGATAAAGATTTTTTAACAGATAATAGAATATTTATAATTAGTTATAATTTATCAGTAAAGTGTATTTCTAATATTGAGTTAAAGAGCTTTAGAATAATTATATGTGATGAGTGTCATTATTTAAAAACTTTTAAGTCTAAGAGGACAACAGAACTATTACCAATTCTCCAATCATCAACAAGACTTATAATGATATCCGGAACACCCGCACTTAGTAGACCAATGGAATTATATCCCATTATATCAGCTATTAATAAAAGTTTATTTACTAATTTTAGAGATTATGGTATGAGATATTGTGGAGGTAGAAGGATAAATAATTATTATGATTTTAGAGGTTATAGTCATCCAAGTGAATTAAGTTATATTTTAGAAAAGGACATGATGATAAGAAGATTAAAAGTTAATGTGTTACAAGATTTACCACCAAAAACCAGGAGACGTATTTTATTAAAG